CTCTCCTACCTCTCTCTCTGCTACGCCTACGCTCCCACTCTCTCCTCCCGTCCCGCCGTTGCAGACGCATCCAACCTTCTCCTCTCGCCTCCCCCACCCAGCCACCCCTAAGGGCTCGCCCTCGCTGCGGGAGAGAGATACGCGCGCCCACCTTCCCCGGCGGCTGCGGGGAGCTAGCGCGTCACTGCCCGCGCCCAGTCGCCATAGAGGCGGAGGCGCTTGTCGGGGGGAAACACCACCCTGGCCGGGCTCCTTTCTCGCGGGCGCCTCCGGATTTGCTAGGTTGTGGAGCCGGGTGCGGAGCCATGTCGCAATCTCAGTCTCAGTCCCAGTCTCAGTCGCAGACCAACTGGGAGGCGGATAAGATGTGAGGATATCTTCTAAAATCCTTGGTTTGTTGCATGCTTCCTTGTGTTGATTCGTGGAGTTCTGCGGTCACGGTGCTTCCTGGGCGAGCATTGTGATAGATTAGTACCTGCGAGCAGCGAGCGAGAGGGGAATATCGTTTTGTGGGAGTTCCTATTTCTCAGCGGTTTCCATTTAGCTCCTCTTTTCCCAGTAGGCTCAGCTTAGCGAGTAATTGCAGGCACGATTTGTGTCCTGTTTGTATGCAATTAATTCACTTCCCTACTAGACTGTCTGTGTAAGTCTGTATTAGTGATTTTAGTATACAATTAATTTGGTTCCGAACCTTAGGTTTTGATGTTAGAGTTTGCGCTTTTTGTTAAATCCATTGTGAAACGATGGTTTTTTAGTACTTCTCTATTAATTGATAATATTTTCACGAGGGCTGAACACGAAGTAGCTTCGTTATTTCAGGAGGTTACAGTTTGACAAGCCTACTAATGATAATTCTCTCGCAAAAAAGCCTACTAATGGTAATTTTTTCTTCCAAAAAGGAGGCTGAGACCCCCGGCCTCTGCATAAAAAATGATGCACAACCATTTTTATTAAATTATTCAACAAAGCCTGCAAGAACAAGGGGATGTTCAGAGTTGTACTAATTATCGTGGAATTAAGCCAATGAGCCATACAATGAAGCTCTGGGAGAGAGTCATTGAGCACCGCTTAAGAAGAATGACAAGCGTGACCAAAAATCAGTTTGGTTTCATGTCTGGGAGGTCGACCATGGAAGCCATTTTCTTCGTACAACAACTTATGGAGAGATACAAGTAGCAAAAGAAAGACATGCATATGATGTTCATTGACTTGGAGAAGGCATATGATAAGATACCGTAGAATGTCATGTGGTGGGCCTTGGAGAAACACAAAGTCCCAACAAAGTACATTACCCTCATCAAGGACATGTACGATAATGTTGTGACAAGTGTTCGAACAAGTGATGACGACACTGATAACTTTTCCATTAAAATAGGACTGCATCAGGGGTCAGCTTTGAGCCCTTATCTTTTTTGCTTTGGTGATGGATGAGGTCACAAGGATACACAAAGAGATATCTCATGGTGTAATGGTGTATGCTTTTTGCGGATGATGTGGTGCTATTTGATGATAGCCGGATAGGGGTCAACAGGAAGTAGAGCTATGAAGACAAACCATGGAATCGAAAGGTTTTAGGCTTAGTATAACTAAAACCGAGTACATGAGGTGCAGTTTTAGTACTATTAGGCACGAGGAGGAGGTTAGCCTTGATGGGCAGGTGGTGCCTCAAAAGGACACCTTTCGATATTTGGGGTCAATGCTGCAGAAGGATGGGGATATTGATGAAGATGTGAACCATCGAATTAAAGCCGGATGGATGAAGTGGCGCCAAGCTTCTACGTTCTCTATGACAAGAGAGTGCCACAAAAGCTAAAAGACAGGTTCTATAGGATGTCTATTTGACCTGCAATGTTGTATGGCACTGTGTGTTGGTTGACTAAAAGGTGACATGTTCAACAGTTAGGTGTAGCGGAGATGCGCATGTTGAGATGGATGTGTGGTTACACAAGGAAGGGCCGGGTCCGAAATGATGATATACATGATAAAGTTGGGGTAACACTGATTGAAGAGAAGCTTGTCCAACATCGACTGAGATGGTTGGGGCATATTCGGCGTAGGCCTCCAGAAGCTCCAGTGCATAGCGGACGGCGAAAGTGTGCTAAATGTCATGGAAGGTCGGGGTAGACCGAACTTGACATGGAAGGAGTCCGTAAAGAGAGATCTGAAGGACTGGAGTATCACCAAAGAACTAGCCATGGACAGGGGTGCGTGGAAGCTTGCTATCCTTCTGACAGAACCATGAGTTGGTTGCGAGATCTTATGGGTTTCAGCTATAGCCTACCCCAACTTGTTTGGGACTAAAGGCTTTGTTGAAGCTTTGTTGTTGGTGTTGTATTCAAGGAAGCCTGACAAAAAGAATACATCGATCAACCCAAAGCCATCTCGATTGTGACTGCTGTCGCTACCCTACATGCTCAATGATGGGAGTGGCCATGATCAGGGCCATGTGTCCTGACCCCTCACTGAAGCACCACCATCTAGATCCGGAGGCCTCACCAGGCCGCCCAACAGCGAGCCGGGAGCACAAACCGGTCCAATAGACCCTCATGCACTGCATGCACATGCTCCGGAAGCCGCCGCCGTCTTCAGGACAAGGACCATGCATAACCCTCACCGGGCCTGTCGTTGACATCACCATGACGCCAAATAGTGCCACCACCCTACGTGCGTCCATCATCCCGCGTCTGTAGCCGAGACTCAGCTGCGCCACGCCGCGACCAGCCGTCGTCGATGTGGTAGATGCAACACCTCTCCACCTCCTGGCTCCTCTAGCCAACACCTGTTCCAAAACGATGCCCCTCGAGAAGTCAACACGGTTTTCACGGGCAGTTGCACCACTCCAAACCCACAACTGACTAGATCTGTGCGGAGCCGCGTAGTGAAGGTGCACGCAGCCGCCGGAACGCCGGCAATGGGACTCCAGCTGCCCCTCAGCGGCCCTATGCGCCGCCGGCCGACCAAGAGCCACACCGACGACAGATCTGGGCAAGGATCAGATCCACGGCCCACCGCCACCAACTGTCGCCAAAGAAGCACCAGGCCATGGAGGCGACAACCACAGCCACACAACTAGGGCCGCCCGCCCTGGCCGTCGCACGCGATCTCCCCATGGGCATTGCCCTAGCCGCACCATGGGGTCATCGCCGCGAACCACCCACCCAGGCACCTTCAGCGCTTGGCCCGCCGCCACCGTGGCCAACATCGGCGACAACGGCGGTAGGGGAGACGCCTAGGTCAGGGGGCTTCTGGCGGCGCTAGGGTTGGGCCCCTGGCGTCCCCTGGGGAGCGACGCGAGGAGCGTTTTTTCTTTTTGACGAGGCCATCTGTATTGTGGCCACGCCTACTAACGATGATTGGTGGTTCATGTGTAGTAGGCTGCTCTACCTAAATATTTTATGTGAATAGTAAAAGGTCACAATTCTTAAAGCGCTAGTGTAGAACACATTAGGACTTGCTTTTTAAGCTTCTAGCTCATCATTAATTTGTTATTGAGAATGTGAGAACATAAAATAAAGTTAATGCAGTACATTCCTCGTTTTCTAATGACAGTTTACTTGTGAATTCGAACTTATCTGGTTCAAACTTCAACGTCCATTTCACAGAACTAAACGATTGATTGTCTAATAAAACAGGTTGGATGTCTACATATATGACTATTTTGTGAAGAGAAATTTGCAGGAAACTGCAAAAGCCTTCCAAACGGAAGGGAAGGTCTCACCAGATCCAGTTGGTATGTACCTCTCAGCAAGTTGACATGAAGCTATTTTAGTAAGTAGGTTTTTAGTTTCCCCATATCGAGTGCTACTGTTCACTTTCTGCGGTTATCTTTCTCATAGCAATTGATGCTCCTGGTGGCTTCCTTTTTGAATGGTGGTCGGTATTTTGGGATATATTCATAGCAAGAACAAATGAGAAGCATTCAGATATTGCAGCATCATATATTCAGGTACGTACCTTTGCTTTCTTTCTATAATATTTTATCCACTTCATGGGTAAAACTTAACAAACCTGGTTCTAAAAGGAAAAATGGAAAATACCACAATGATGTATTGTTTCATTTTTGTACCACCAAAATATCACAGAGAACAGGATTGTATCACTTCCGCTAGTATGACGTGGCCAGCTATAGATCTGCCAAATTTGACCCCTCTATTACCTTCCTTCCAAAGCTCTCTATTACCTTCCTTCCCAATGCTTCCTATTCCCTACACTGATCTGAGCTCTGTTTCTTCTCCTCTCCACTACTCTGAGCTTTAACACCTAATTCTCTCTACAATTAGCCTGTTGATGCTACTCTTTTCCCCAAGCTTGTGACTTCTCTTCTCACTCCCCAAGTTTGCATCTTTCTTCTTGTTTCTTCATCTGTCAATTGGTCCAAATTTCTTTTTAAGAACATTTTGATTGGGTAAATAGGCTTCAACTTTTGTTAATGTTTAAGAAATTTCAAGGCCGCCTCCTCTGGAAGGATACAACTGGGATCGCTGTGGGTACATTACACATTACACCGCACCAAGCATAGCAGCCACCAGTTAAAAATATCAGAGGAACCATGAAATTCGGAAAATTGTGAAACATAAAATAAAACTAAAAAAATCATATTTTCAAGTAAATTTTAGGAGAACCCATAGAAGTTCATACAAATGAAGCTATACTTTATTGTGCCCTGTCAGACTCAGTTAGTGAAAGCAAGGGAACATCAACATGAGCATCAGCAACAACAGCAATCTCAGCAGCAAACTCAGCAGCAGCAGCAGCACCAACAACAGCAGCAACAACAACAGCAGCAGCAACAACAGCAACAACAACACCAACAACAGCAACAACACCACCACCACCAACAACAACAATCTCAGCAGCAGCAACAATCTCAACAGCATCAACAAATACAAATGCATCAAATGTTGTTACAGAGAGCTGCACAGTAGCAGCAGCAGCAGCGTAGAGATGGTTCTCATCTTCTTAATGGCACTGCAAGTGGGCTTTCTGGAATTGATCCTTTAATGCGACAAAATCCAGCAACTGCGAATGCTATGGCAGCAAAAATGTACGAGGAGAGGTTAAAGCTCCCTTCTCAAAGGGATTCTCTGGATGAGGCATCATTGAAGGTATCACTCCTACTGGATCTTGTTTCTTATGTTTTGGTTGATTCCTCGTGAAAGTAACAGTATTTGGAAATGCACTAAGCACGGCAGCAGGGTGGCGCCTAGTGCCTAGTCACTGACTAGCTGGGTTAGGTAGCCTCCTGGGCGGGCAAGGTTGTATGGGTGATCCTAGTGCCTAAACACCGCCTAGGTGGGGTAGAAACCCCCTTATAGAACAGTGAAAATCAGTAAAATGTTTATTTGTATTGTGAAAATTCCAGGTGCAGCAAAGGTATGGGGAAAATGCTGGCCAAGCACTTGATCCAAACCAAACGTCGTTGAAAGCAGCCGCAGGCGGACAATCTTCAGGGTAATTTCTGAACTTGTAGATTATGTTTGCATTGACAAGCTTGCATGAGACGGTAGAGCATGGATATCAGGGAAAACAATAAATTGTTATGAGTGCATAGTTCTTGTTGGAGAGCTCTCGTTTGCATTATATCCTGGGCTAGGATTTGTCCTTTCTCTGTAGCATGATTGGCATCTTTGTGATTGAACAGGCACATAAAACATTAAGCGCAAGGTGCATTCGAGAATTTACCTTATTTTTTCTAGACTGTTCGTCCTGGAAACTTCGTATATCTTTCTTTGTCCAAATTCAGATCATAGTAGCCCTGGAGCATTTGAAAATTTTAATCATACTTTCATTCTGAATTTGTTTTTTTTCATCGATTGATTGTACCTTGAGGACCAACGGATGTTACACTTCTGTTTGTGCTATTGCTATGAAGTGGTTTCGTCGACGCGACAGCGCCTTGAGGATGAAGTCCCTGATAGAGGATGTTTTAATTATATTTCTTGCTTAACTTAATGGGCGCAATAGGCCTCTTTATATCAGGCCCCCCTCACAAATACGGAGAAGATCAGTATACTGCCGAACATGCCTAACTATCACTCCCTCCATTCCAAATTAATTGAAGTTCTAACTTTTCTCTAAGTCAAACTTCTTCAAATTTGCCCAAGTCTATCTACGGAACTAAATTAGTCTACTTATATCTACTCCCTCTGTCCCATTTACATGGCGCACATGTATTTCGAGGTTTAATTTTTGCCATCAATTTGACCAACAAATCATAGGTTATAGGTCACAAAATTGTGCTGTTCAATTAGTATTAAAATGTACTCCCTCCGTCCCACAATATAAGATCGTTTTTCAAGTTATGTTAGCTTGAAAAACGATCTTATATTGTGGGACAGAGGGAGTAGTTTCCAATGGTGTAATATTAATGACAATATGACATATACTTTATATATTGTGGGTGAAAATTGGGTCACCGATAATGAGGGCGCCATGAGGGATGGAGGGAGTATCATAAAATATTTTTTGTACTATATATATGATGTAAATATTGGCACAATTTTCTATAGACTTGATCAAATGTAGAGGTTTGACTTAGGAAAAGCTAGTACTCAATTAATTTGGAATGGAGGGAGTAGATTAGTATACGGGACAAAAATCCTTATTTATAAAAATTAATATACTTATTTAACTTTTATGTTTTGATTGGGAGGGTACATATCTTTCTGTTGCTACAGGACACACAACTGTTCACATTGCACTCTTTTCTTCACATGACTGCTATAGGTTATGTTTTAGACTTTAGTGCTTTGCAATGTTGTTGTGGATAAGCAGCAGACAACTGTAAGGTTACAGATTTTGATTACGTAGAAGGTATGTTACTTCGTTCAGTAGTGGAAGTACCATGAGTCCATGACCTGCCATGAGTCATGAATCATGATTGGGCCTTAGAGTAAAAATGCTAATCAAACCATAAGAAATAACTGTTCATGTTGGCTCATGCAAATAAGATATGGTGCATTTGCTTTCAAATAGTATTGAAATTTTACCTTTGATAGGCAAATTTTGCATGGAGCTGTTGGTGGATTGTCAGGTGCTCTGCAACAGGTTCAGGCAAGAAGCCCACAAATGCCTATGCAAGAACAGGTTACATATAGTTTTCTCACTGCTTCTCGTAATTATGCCCAGTGCCAAAACTAGATAGAGAAGAGCGGGCCTTACCAGTTTTAGTTTCTTGTCTGCTATCATATTTTATTCTTTACAGAGTATCAAAACTGAGATCAATCCAGTTTTGACACCCAGAAGTGCAGGTCCCGAGGGATCATTCATTGGTGTCCAAGGTAATAGTTTGTCCAGCTTATTGCCTGGATTTGCTGTCGCGTCAGTTAACTATTCAAACTTCAGCTTACACTATTTTCTTACTCAAACTGTTTTTAGTGCTTGGTTTGCTAAGCTTAATTCAGATGACATTTTAAACAGGATCTAGTCAAGGTGGAAGCAATTTGACTCTGAAAGGTTGGCCACTCACGGTACGTTTTATCTTAGGACCACACTTTATTTCTTATCGTGTATGTGCTCTGCTTATGATTTATGGTCCTATTGTGGATTCGGTTTTGGCTGTTTATATGCATAGGGGTTGAGGCACATGCTCGATCCGGCTGCATAATGCAGGGCACAGTTATATTATTTAAACAAATAATTTAGTTTTCATAGAACTGCAATTGTAGCCCCTCCTTTTTCTGGTGACTTATGATAAACCCTTGCCAAGTGCAGACGCTCCAGGAATATTTAACTTTCTAACATCAACTAATTTTCTTTTTGCGTGGCACTCTGGTAGAGTGGCAGACGCGCGATGCGTACTTGCACCTGAAGATCCACTTTGTGAATGCTTGCAACATGGAGGGAGGGAGGGAGGGGTGTGATATTCCATTAACCGATACAGTACAAAATATTGAAATCTAGTGCTCATGAGGTTCAACTCAGTAACCCGCAATCGGATCGGTTTGTTCTCGGCAGTAGCCGAACCACTGCTGGGTGGCCTTGGTGGCCATTCTGAACGAAAATGCCAACGTCTCCACATACCTTAATGGTTGCACTGCTTGAGGAAGCTTGTGATTTTTTGCCTACTGACCTAGCTCTTGTTCGTTACATGTTGCCCTCTTGTTGCCAGTTTCTAGTTCTGTTACTGATTCTGGGGTATCCTTAGCAATCACATTTTTGCAGTTTGTGAACAATGAATTCTTTGGGCTGTTATGCAGCGCACGTGTGCATTCAGCAGTTGGGGAAGCAACAAACGATTTGTGTACTTTCCGAGTATACTCCAAACCATGTGATTGACATTGATTGCTCTAACATGGGTGCTATCTTGCAAATTCTGTTGTAACATATACACCTTTTACTTACCAGGGCCTCGACCAGCTTCGCTCTGGTATCCTGCAGCCGAAGTCATTTATGCAATCTCCACAACAACAATTTCAACAGCTCCAATTTCTGAATCCACAACAGCAACAGCAGCTTTTGATGCAAGCGCAGCAAAACATGGCTTCCCCTACAGTTAGTGATGTTGATACCAGAAGATTAAGGATGCTTCTTAACAATAGAAATATGGCCATGGGGCAGGATGGGCAGACAAACAGTGGTGGGGATATTATTCCAAATATCGGTTCTCCTAGCCAAAGTGGTGGATCACGTACAGATATAGACATGCTAATAAAGGTATGTTCTATGACGTCCTACCTGTCAGGGGCTAATTTTCTGCAGCTAATCACGGGACTGTCTATTTGACAATCGACTGAAAATGAATTCACCTTCGTTCAACTTTTTCAACCGCTGACAAGCAGATAACAGCTACACAGAACTACCAACCAAAAATACATGTAATGAAAACTGTATTTGATCTACATGACTACCGTAACAACAGTAGTACTAGAATAGTAAACCCATGTGAATAAAAAACACGATCGAAACAGTGGAATGCTTGTGAGGAGAATGCTTATACCAAACACACGTAAACAAAATAAATAAACACCCAGAATACATACTATTGGCTTGGAGGGAGTGCTATTACCCTACATACATGAACAAACAGGGAGTTCAATCACAGCACGTGATTGGACAGACAAAACATTCGAGTGAAGCCAAATTAAAATCAGTCGATTGAAATTAGCAATTCTGAATCCATAATATAAGGTTTTCTTTATGAGGTATTATATTTACCTAGTTGAAGCCATAATGAGGCTTCTTAGTTTCTTACTCCCTCTTTCTGAATAAGAGGTTCTTAAGTTTGACTAAGTTCATACAAAAAAAAGATCGACATCTACAATACCAAATAAATATGTATGTGCGTGTATAAATCTGAACTCAAAACATACATGTTTTCGTAGTGTATGTATGTGGTATTTTAGATGCTGATAATTTTACTGTAAGCTTGGTCAAACTTAAAATTTTAACTTAGGAGAAAACTAATACGCCTTACATTTTTGGAAGGAGAGAGTATTATACAGAGACTGTATTCCCAGTTTGTTTACAGAAGGACGGAACACGAACATCCTAGCCAAATGGCACATCTACTCAGAACTGATCAAAATGAAACATATTCAGCTTTAGTTTCCATCCATTAGGCCTTTTTACTTGTCCACCAGTATTTTCCTTTCATACATTCAAGAACTAAACAGAGAACGATTTCTACTCCTTTATTTTTGTAGACCTTTCCATTCCTTCTATTTGAAGTGCTGCAACTGTTGTACTTTTCTCATCATCTTATCTGTATACTATTACTGCCTGTATGAGTGAAGCTGACCAGGCAAACAATCTTAGAAACCAGGAACTGCTGTTGTTCCTTTGATGGCTAAATCTACAGCAGAAAATTTATTTTCTATTATTCTATTAACTATGCTCTTTCTCTCCTTATATGGGCGTTTCTATGTAGTAGAAGAAAATTGCTCATTTACAACAGCAACATCAGCTTCAGCAATCTACAGTCTCCAGTCAGCAATCTCAGAGCTCAAATCAGCTTCTCCAGCAACAGGAAAAGCCTGGAGTTGGATGCATGCCTATTGATGGAAGCATACCAAACTCTTTTGTAGTAGCTGACCAAGTATGTTACTGTTATGCAAATACAATGTTTCCAGCAGATGATGTTTATATTAATATTTTAAATCTAACATACTACTGCTTATTTATGCTGCAATGTGGAGGAGTGACGGTCTTAATGGTTGTAGATATACCTTTGTTTGCCTCTTTATTGAGATATTAACAATAAATCAATCTTATAATGAAGCACGCATCTCATTTCAGTCGCATGTTTTAAATTGGCCACATACAACTACAGCGCTGAGTGCTTAATAAGTGTTAGGATCTCAAGTTTTGGATGGTGTTCTGTGCAGACACATTTGGTAACCTACGATAACTTGACAAGACAATAAGAGTATTGTTTTGCTCTTTGTAAAGACATGCTAGCAGTTCTCAGATTTTGCACAATATATTTGAGCTGCAATTGACCATGCTACCTCGCCACTTGTTTTAAGTATTACTCTGATGTTCAGTACGTAATTTCCTATGGAGTTTCAGTTTTTTGTTGTCCTGCGGTTAGTATGCCCCCTTTGAGCTTTCACTATTACTCATGGTTCTGTGATAATCATTTGTCAGAAGATATGGGTAATCATTCCAATTGTTTTAGATTAGTAAATTTGATATTAATTCGATTTTAGTGGTTCAAACACTGACATTGTTCTCTTTGTGGTTCAGGCATCAAAGAAGAGAAAGAAACCTGTCTCCTCTAGTAGAGCTAATAGTTCAGGAACAGCAAATACTGCTGGGCCATCTCCAAGTTCTGCACCTTCGACGCCTTCAACTCACACACCAGGAGATGCAATGTCCATGCCACAGCTGCTGCATAATGGTGGTCCATCAAAACCATTGATGATGTTTGGTTCTGATGGCACTGGAAGCTTGACCTCTCCAGTAAACCCACTGGTATTTATACTGTGAAATCAGACATTCTCCATGGAAAGTGTCATTAGCACATTGCCTCTGTCATTGAGATGACAGAAGTTCTTAATTTCAGGGTGATGTGGACCGTTTGCTGGAAGATGGCTCCTTGGATGAAAATGTAGACTCATTTTTATCACAGGAGGACATGGATCCTCGGGAAACCATGGGACGCTGCATTGATGCCAGTAAAGGTATGTTTTGTTTCCCTCTGATACATGGTTTTTCTTGAGTTGACTCTTTCGCCTGAACAAATAGATTGGCCTACCTGTAACAATCGTCGTATTTCTCACGCATATTTCTTTGGAATGTCATGCGTGATTCTTGGTTTCAACAAGTTGCAATTCCTTTGCTTCTTTGAGAGAGATTGTTTCGCGTGATTGTATCAGATAACTTGTTAAATAAAAAAATGTGTATAGTGTATCTTTTGCAAGATGTAATGCTTTTGGGTCTTTAGTTCTGTTGTAGTTAATTATTATCAGTTTACTAACCATGCTATCATACTTGTGGTTACGAGAGCAAAACTGTAGGAAAGGACACTTTGGAAAAATAATTTTCCGTGTTGTATGTTGTATCACTATCACCTTCCCAAAACCTACTTCCTATGGCCTATTCAGTTTGAAGAGGTTTGGCAGGGATTAAGAGGACTTAGCAGGGAATATAGCTCAATTCCTTGCCAATCGCTCTTAATCCATGGCAATTCCTGCCAAACCTAAAAGCGGCTAGTAGATCCCAAGGGGCGCTTCTGCTGAGCCATCGTTGTGACTTGATCAAGCCCTTCTTGCTCAAAATCCCATTGCAGCACCTGACCAAGCTCAATGTCAATCAAATTTAGAACTTGACATTTCATTACCCCCTACTATCGCATATTTGCATGCACCTTAAGTTAAATTCTTGCATAACTCCCTTGGAATCAATCTCTTCTAATTTGGCGGAGGATACATCCATTGCTGGTTAGTAGTGAATTGTGATGACAGTAAAGGTGACAGGAAGTGACCCGGTGCCCCCTAGCAGGTAGTGTTCTTTGAGACTAATTGGTTTCTTTGAGCTTAATACATGGGAGATAGCTGATTTGGCGAAAAATTAATGTGGATGTTCTTTGGTCTGGGATTCATTTGCTACATAGGACAGGAGTATGCTGATAAATGATTCTATATATGCCGTGGGGTGCCATGGACTTGTTTCATTCTACTCGGTTGCAAATTATTTTGATGGGGTGACTCATTGCCCAGTGTCTCTTTATTGCAGGGTCTGGTTTCTCCGAGGTTGCAAAAGCCCGTGCGAGTACAGGCCAAGTTAGCTGTTGTCATTTCTCGCCAGACGGAAAACTGCTCGCCACCGGAGGCCACGATAAAAAGGCATGGACACCAACATAAAAGTAATTGTGAATATACTGGTGCTAAAGAAACTGGAAGCTTATACCTGCTTTCGTATTTTTCAGGCTGTTTTATGGTTTACAGATGCCCTAAACCCCAAATCTACATTAGAAGAGCACTCGATGCTTATTACAGATGTTCGATTTAGCCCAAGCATGACCCGCCTTGCAACATCTTCCTTTGACAAAACTGTGCGGGTTTGGGATGCTGACAATGTATACCTATTTCTAACTACTGTCTCTCTTACGTTTCACAAGATGTCATATACCTTAAGATGCACTGACTAATTAATTGACTATATACAGCCAGATTATTCACTCCGCACTTTCACGGGTCATTCAGCGTCTGTTAAGTCGCTTGATTTTCATTCAAATAAAGAAGACATCGTTTGCTCCTGTGATAGTGATGGGGAAGTGCGCTGCTGGAGCATAAACAATGGTAGCTGTGTGACGTGTGTTAGGGTCTTCAGTGTATGCAGCCCTTTTTCTCTCCCAAACATTTCTTGTTTGTCAAGGATGTTCTTTTATAATGCGCTGAAACGTTCTCCTGTTATCGGCATCTTATCTTCCCAGGGAGGTGCAACTCAGTTGAGATATCAACCTCGTCAAGGGAAATATCTTGCAGCTGCCTCTGAGAAGATGATATCAATATTGGATGCAGAAACACTACAAGTGTGTAGGAATGCCTTAAAGGTTCGTTACCAGAGATCATAGTCAAACACATCCTTTGAATTGTTTTCAACTTTTCACAGTTACTTGTGTATTTGCTATGTGTACTTTATGCTATACCATGCCTTTTCTTTTCTTCTTCTGTGCCCCCACCTGTGTAGCATTTAACAAATGTCTTACTAGAAACACACTGAGAAAATTTGGTTGCGATGTTGGGTTCTTTGCAACATATATGGACACTAAACATAGGTTTGTCAGAAATCATTCTGCTCATTTGGGAGTTCAGCTGATTTGGCAGCCTCCATTTTGCATAGGTTGTATGTAAATGGTCTCAGTATTTTAAATAGCTAGCCACTGCTACACTATAGTTTTTTTTGCAGCCTAATAGCTACGTTATGGCACCTTGTATCACTATTCTAGCGTATCTATTTGCCTTGAGTAAAAGCAGCATTAGCTGAAGATTCCTTGTAGATGGTAATGGGCCAAAACAGCAACCCGTTTTCAATTCTAGTTATAAAACTAAGCCCAGAAAGAATATGCGTACGAGTATACAAGACATCAATTGAAAAATCAGAAAGCCTACTAGTATGGCATCCAAAATCTTGTTTCGACCGATGCTACTTTGAATGGTTGTAATGCACTAATGCTACTTTGACTGACTTGGTAGTTGTAGACTTGAGACATGGTGCTATTGTATATATATATAAGTACGTCAAAATTACTATGGTTTCTTAGTTCTGTTGACTGACATTTTTAAGCGTGCATATGATATTATTGATATTTTGATCAATAAGACGCTATTGGAAATAGCTTCCACGATAGCTAGCAATAGCTGCCGTTGCTATAGCTCGGAGCCTCGGGCCTTGCCATGAAAAATGCGATTTAAAACATTGATCATATTTTTAAACAAACATTTACGTACATAAACTTTACACCACAACCTAGATACATGAATTATTTTCAATCTTTTTTGAAAATTTTCAGAAGTGACTTGCATCACAAAACCTGGCGAGGGGGTAAAGTGATGCAGGATAGCGAGACCCACAAAAAGTTTGTGGGGCTGGGGGTGAGCCAGGAATAGTTTTAGGATGGATAAGGGGACTTGTAGAGGCACTTGTGTGAGAATTTATCTGATCAGATCTTATATGATACTGTATAACATTTATTATAGGATTGTTGCAGTAATATAGTGTTCATTTTGGCCCATGTCTTTTAGCTAGACCGTTGCCACTACAAATCAGATCGTCATTACACTGGTTTGGCTAGGCCTTCGAATGTTTGATGAATGGGGATTAGCAAATATATTTATCGAGTATCTTGCCTGCTTGCAATCCAAGTTTCCAGAACAATTCGATGTTGTCAGCTTGGTATTGCAATTAACGTTGCTTTCATCAGTGTGGTGCTCACTGTAATAGGAACTTCTGTTCATGTGTAGGGACACATAAAGAACATCGAGTCGATTTGTTGGGATGCTGCAGGTGACTATCTGGCCTCTGTAAGTGAAGATTCTGTCAAGGTGTGGTCATTTACTTCAGGAAATGATGGCGAGTGTGTGAATGAGTTGAATTGCAGTGGAAACAAGTTCAATTCATGTGTTTTTCACCCGAATTATCCGTCATTGCTTGTAATTGGTTGTTACGAGGTAAGCTCTCTTATATCTTATGAGGTCATTACTTATGAGGCCCAAGTTGATCCATTTTGTGTTGACATTTTTTATTGTGTCTGTGTATCATGATATCTTGCAGTCCTTGGAACTTTGGGACATAAGGGAGAAGAATACGGTGACCATCAGCAACGCCCATGACGGCTTAATTGCAGCCCTAGCTGCATCAAATGCATCAGGGTTGGTCGCCTCAGTAAGTCATGATAAGCTTGTCAAGCTCTGGAAGTGAGAACAGGGAGCAACCTTCCTTCTACATCACATTTTACAAGTTGGTCCCTGTGGACATCTGTCGTCTGGTTCCAGCCAACGTTGTATGATGTAGAAACAGGGCGGTTTTCTGCCGCAGATAAACACATGACGAGGGCAGCTAACGAAAATGTCTTCAAGCTATCTGTGTTCAAGAACTAACCCAATTTGATGTCGTCCCAGTTGCTGCACGTGCCCTTGGATAGGTTTGTAACTATCCTTGTAGAATGTACCATACTCTGTAGTGGCCTGCGCAAACTCTAGAGTGTTGTTATCATTGAATGGTCACAAGCACAGAGGCCGCCTGTTCCCCTTTATCTTTGTGTGCCTCAACTGCTGATTCTGACTGCATTTTTCTTGACTGCGTTTGCTCTTATTTCCCCTTTCTCTTTGTGTGCCTCCAAATTCTCCAAGTTAAATGTGGCCGCCTGTTCCCTGAGTACTTGCGTGTAGTTCATGTGCTACAGTGCTCTTCTTTTGCATGTTTGTTGGATGGCGAGTGAGATGCCAGAACAAAAGTGTCGACTGGACTGGTCTAAACTGGGTTGGCGGTTAGTGCGGCTTCTATTCTTCGGAAAACATTCCGTCCTCATTGGTTTACAGGAATTTTGTGGGAATTCTAAAGGATAGTATGCATAGCAAAATTCCCTTTGAAGCACTTTGGTTTGTAGGAATCGATTCCTATTCCAATCCTTCATATTTTCAAAGTAAAACGACATTAGCCTAGACTCAATGAAAAAATTCTTACCCTATACATCAAGTGACATCTCTTCCTTCATAAATGCCATCTTTTTCTTTAGGAATTGAGATACATGTCATTCACTTTCTATGGTTTTTCTATTTCTATGATATTCCTATCGTATCAACCAAAGAAGGCCTTGCACACTACATGCGATAATACAAAGTTGGGAGCATCATCTAGCCAATCATAGCTAGTTTTAGAAACAAAACAACGCCTAGCCAGATAGTGTGACAATCCGTTCGCTTCCCTGGGACAATACTTGAAACAAATTACCAGGATTCACCCACAAAAAAAAAAGAAATCGTCAAAATTCCATGAGCTAAAGGCCTTTTTGATTCACGGGATTCTAAAAGCGCAGGAATAGAAAAAGAATATGATTGAAGTGGTATGTCCACTTAAATCTTGTAGGATTAGTATAAGGAGTGTTTGATGCCACGGAAAAACAAATATAGTAAACAGAGATTGGAGTGGATGTTGGATTTCCCATGGAATGTAATACAAAAGATTCCATGAAATCTTTAAAAAGTCATATAGAATTCCTTTGAATCAAAGGAGCCCCAAGTGGGAACAATCTGCAGGTATTGGGCATTAAGGGAGCGTTCGGAATCCCTCCACTCCCGAGTCAGCTCGCGGAGCCGGCGGAGCTGCAGGCTGAAAAGGTGGAGCTGGGATATACGCGCTCCGCAGATCCGCGGAGCCGGCGGAAGGCCGAACAGGCCCTAAGGCTCCAAATTTCGGTCTTGCCGTAACATGCTTCAACCAGCTCCAGGTAACATCAGTGCAACTACCTTCAGAAGCAATTTTAGGCCTCGTAGCAACGACAGTGATTCTGTAGTTTGGGTATTGAGTATTGAGTACATGATCAATCAACTCCGACGACCCAGCTACAGCTTCACCTCAAGAATTTCAAAAAGGGAGGCATCAATACGAAAGTCTTGTTCTGCCCGCAAGCTCAAATGAGCTTGTGACGGCAGTAAAATTGGAAAAAAACTAAAAAATATGTGCCTAACTTTGACAAATATTTTGAGTGCTTGGAAAGTTTCATCATAGAATGACATTCGTGGAAGTCATGAAAAAGAACAAAATCTCCAAAGTGCTTTCGAAAATAACATTTTTTGAGCATTGATTTTGTTTTTCAGGCCACAACTTACATGATGTCATTTCATGATGAAACTTTGCAAGTACTCAAAACATTTGTCAGTGTTTATTTTTTTAGAGAAAAGGCCAAAGCCCGACTTTATAAATAAAGCCACATGGCAGCGTCACGAAACCCAAGGTTCACACAGTCTCAGAAACACAAAGAGAAGTTAAATAGGCCCAAATTCCTAACGAAACAGGCAGCTGCCAAACACGGCACGCAGGCCGGGGAGAGAAGAAGACCTAATCCCGCAAACTACAGCACCAGGCTTATACGCCATGATTCGTCCCGGAGATCTGAGAGGCTGAAGCCCGAATTTTGGCGATGAGCAGGTCCAGGGCGTCCCGATCTGGCTCCTTAGTCAATAATCTCCACTGCTGCAAGAATATACATGATTTGAAAAGAACGTCAGCAGGCTTAGATGGGAAGGTAAGTTCAATAGTAAATTTGTTTCTAATGGTCCAAAGAGCCCAACATAAGGCTCCCAAGCCAACTCAGAATACCCTCTTGGTGACCCCTACCAGAGATTTGGCTAGGGTTCTAGTGTCTGCGAAAGAGGAGGGATCCCAGGAGACCCGAAGCCATGATCTTACGCAAGACCAAACTAATTTGGCAAGAACACAGTTGAAAAAGATGTGATTAGAGTTTTCCAAAGCCCCACACAAGTTACAGAATTCCGAGCCCGACCCATTGCGTTTTTTGATCTGATCAGCAGAAAGAAGGCGACCTCGGAAGGCTTGCCAGAGGAAAATCTTAATCTTAGGAGGGACCTTAGATTTCCAAATACAAGAGAAGCGAGCCGAAGTAGTACCACCAATGAGTCTAGAATACAACGATTTGACCGAGAATAGCCCAGAGGTCGTAAGTGGCCAAACCACAGAGTCAGCCTCCTCCGAGAGCACAGGGAAGAGGGCAGAAAGACTTTGCCATTCTTCCAACTCTGCAGGAGACAGGGCCCGACGAAAAGCCAAGTCCCAATTATTAGCAGCCACCTCCGCGATGGAGATTTGCGGATTGGGGCAATAAGAGAACAGAACCAGAAAGCTAACAGCCAGGGGAGCATCCCCGGACCACCAATCTAACCAAAAACGAACAGCAGACCCATTACCCACACAAAACTTAACGTGCTCCAAAAAAATTGGCCGAACTTTAACAAGGGCTTTCCAAAACTGCGAACCACGCCGCGCAGGGGCAAACATAGGGTTGGAGTTAGGAAAATATTTAGCCTTAAGAATCGAAAACCACAACACATCGGCCCCAACCGTCATAATTTTCCACCACCACTTAATGAGCAGACAAATATTCATCACCCGAGTATTAATAATGCCTAACCCCCCAAGGTTTTTAGGCTTGCACATAAGCTGCCACTTAACCAACCTATACTTCCTTTTGTTATCTGCAGAATTCCAATAAAAGCCACCCCTATGTTTGTCGAAGCCAGCATGCACACCATCCGTGAGACGGTAAAAGCCCATAAGGAACAACGGGAGAGAGGATAAGCAAGAATTGATTAGAGCCACTTTGCCAGCATTGGTATTATACCTACCCCTCCAAGGAAGAACCATATTCCCCACTTTAGCAACCACCGGAGCGAAGTCTTTCGCGTGAAGCAGACCAGGAGAGATAGGAAGACCTAAATATTTGAAAGGAAAGGAACCTAAGGAGCAGTTGAGGAGTCTGGCCACCCGCAAGGCCTTCGCCCGGTCAACCCCCGTCACCATAACCTCACTCTTGGCGAAATTGATCTTAAGACCAGAAACAGCTTCGAAGCACAACAGAATAAATTTCAGATTGGCAATACAGGCATTGTCCAACTCTACCAAGATGATTGTGTCATCCGCATATTGCAAATGAGAGACCCCTTCCGGAAGTAGGTGAGAGACCACAGGAATAATGTGTCCACATCGAGCCGCTTTGGAGAGCATACAGGAGAAAGCGTCAGCCACAAAGTTGAAAAGAACAGGGGAGGCCGGATCCCCTTGGCGGAGGCCCCTCCCATTCGCAAAGAAGTTGCTAATAGCGCCATTTACGGCAACTGCAGTGTGGCCACCCGAGACCAACTGCATGATACGGTGAACATAGGCACCGTCGAAACCTTTGGCAAGAAGAATCTGCCTGAGAAAAGACCAGCTAACCGAGTCATACGCTTTTTCGAAGTCTAGTTTGAGAATGATAGCTTTGGATTTCCGCACATGGAGGTCATGAACTATCTCATGAAGGGAGAGAATGCCATCTAAAATAAAGCGCCCTTTGATAAAAGCAGATTGGAAGGGACTAATAACTCTGTGAGCTACCGGAGACAGCCGGTTCGCAAATCCTTTGGAAGGGAACTTGGCAAAGTTGTTAATCAACGCTATAGGCCGGAATTGGGAAATGACATCAGCACCCTTAACCTTAGGGATCAGGGATATAACAGCATAGTTCAGGCGAGAGATGTCGACAGTACCAAGACAAAAACCCTGAATAACGTTACACACCAACTGTTTCAACTAGGGCCAAAAATTCCGAAAGAAAGGGATGGAGAAGCCATCAGGCCCGGAAGCAGCATTAGTATTGGCAGAATTAACCACATCCCAGATTTCCTGATCGGAGAGCGGAATCATCAAGGAAGCATTCTCCTCAGGAGAAATTTTAAGACCAGAACTCCAGAGGTGGGGGGAGATGGACAGGCCCAATGGAGGTTTAGCCCCTAACAGAGACGAAAAGAAGTCCACCACGTGAGCCATAATCACAGATTGGTCTGTAGAGCGCATACCATTAATCAATAGGCTATTAATCTCACAACGCCTACGCCTACCGTTTGCAATCGCAAAGAAATAAGCAGTAGGAGCGTCTCCTTTGAGAGTCCAATTGAGGGTGCCCCTCTGACGCCAGTAAATCTCAGCCTGATGATGTAGCTGCAGAAGAGCGGCCTCCAGATTATAGCGAACAGCCCAACCATCATCCGAGAGCCCAATAGAGTCCGCAGTACGATCCAGCTCCAGGATCTGATTTTCAAGGAAGGCTTTGGAGCGGCGATCCTCCACCGCACGGTTACGCGACCAACCTCTAAGAAATTTTCGTAAAGCATAGGCACATGACTGCCAATCATCCAGAGGGCCAA